GTTGGGCTGAACCCTTCGGGGGCCATAAAACTTTTCCTCGGATTAAATTTGACCACTGCGCGGAGTTGGGCAATCCCCATTTAGTGTCCTCAGCGAACTGAACACTGAACAGAGCAGTTCGCCCGCGGCAGTTCCCAGTTCGCTATAGACACTCGCCATTCAACCGTTGCAGTTTTCTTTGTTACTTCCAATCTAAACTTCATCACTCAAACCCAGCTGAGAATAAACATTTCAATGGATTGCTTTGTGTATCCTTTCCCATTGACGGCCTAAACTTCAATTCAATAACTCGGGCGAGTCTTTAGAATTGGTTTCAATGAGATTTGGAATTTATTATTTTTGTTCTAGAAATAGAATACAGTAGCTATTTTATCATAACAATAACGGAACGCACAGTTAAATTTTATTAGAGGTGTCTTATATACAGTATAATTTTTGTATATGTAACTACTTTTATTAGTTTCATTGCCCCAGACATGTTAATAATCTATCATAACACGTAAATTCATTGTAATTTTTCTCTTAGTACAACGTATTACAGCCAAAGATTAAATTCATCAATCAAATTTTCTTTTTCGTAATCTACGTTGGTAGCATGTATATTATACTACAGACTATAGAGTAACGTTAAAATGTGATTATACTCTTAGCAATATTGGAGTACCCTTGGACATGTATTTAACCTGGCGTTAAGGGACACTCCTATGCTAAGGGTCCTTAATCAATCAGAAAGCTAATTTAGAACTGTAAACATACTCCCCTTTCACCGCCATATTGGAACTAGTAAACTAGAGACACTGGACTAGTTATCGACTAGAAAGGGAAGTTGTGTGAAACCAGTTTGCAACATTTGGATGGCCAGATTTCAATTTCGTAACGAAGACGTGAAAGTGAGGGAGTCAGATGACTACCTTGTGGAGTTGTGGGTATCCATGACCGCAGACTTTCCTTGGAGGGTGTGCCATCAGAGAAAGCATTATGACCTCTGGAGCCTTAATTGATCCGCACTTCTGACTAACTGCTCTTTCTCCTTCTTTATCTTTCTCTCCAGATACGGCCTTGGGATTCTCTCAGGGTCATTGAGAAGTGATAACTGAAGTGATTCATCAGACGAATGGGCTTCTCGTTGGATCGTTAACTGATATTGCTTAGTTTTGGTATAGTCGTAGTAGGTTTCTATTTGGGTTGCAGAACAAATTTGTTTATGCTATTGTGTATCAAACACTAACCAACACTGGGATCAAGCTTACTGAATATGTACATATTGAGGTATAAGTAAGATTGAGAAGGATCTTGCTTTTAGAACATAGGGTTTAAACTAGCTCGTGCTTGGGTATGATAGAAGTTTATGGTTTATTTTTCGTTTGTAAACATTTCCCTTGTCCCTTGAAGAAGATTTGCATTGTTATTTTGTTTGCTCAAGGAAGCACAATTAAATAGATTTATGTTTCTTTTTGATCCACAAGTTTGCCAACACCCAATATTTTTATGTTCTGCTTTGACACCTTTTTTCTAGTAGGTCATTTCTTCTGTATAAAATACAAATCCCATCTACAGTTTGTTTTAGAAGAGGAATCCTTAATTCACTTCTGTATTTTCAAAACTATCTCTAGAATTTGTCAAGTCAGGACATCTTAATTCACCTTGCAATACTCTGTTGGCGAAATCCTGTTTTTCACGCTCAACATTCTATCGATTCCTTTCCCCCAAGTCATTCAACACTGACAAAACTGCGCGCATTCTTCGTTCTTTTTCGACAGTTTCTTGCGCAGCGCTTCGGAAAGTGTCAAATGAGAGAATGGCGCGTCGTCGGCCGACCGTGCAATCCCAGAGTCACGCTTATAAACGCTCCTGCGGGAAGGAAGGAAGGACAGCTGTACAGGAAGGTTGGCATTCTTGACACCAGCTGTGACAGTTGGCTGCACTGAACAACAGCTGACGGGGGTTGGTGGTTGGCACCACCTGCCGAGCACGTGCCAGATATATGGAGGCGGTGGTTGGACAAAAAGATGGTATCTCCAGGACCTGAGCAAGCCAGTGGAATAAGAGATCGCCCCGTGTAAAGAGCTTTACCGCTGTAACTGGAGATTTATAAGAAGGATATGACGGGAGAAATGTGACATTGTTTTGGAGAAATATTGCAGGGAGTAGGGAGGTTCTGAAGCTGTAGCGAGAGCTATGGCATTGGAGGGTACACCTATTTCAACCTGAGCTTATACTAAAATGTAGGATCTCAGGTCAGCTACCTTGAAAGTGCTTATTAAGGTTAAACAAGATTGGTCATTTCTTACTATTCATTAGCACTATTCTAACTAATAAAATAACCGGGTAAAACGCTAATTTGTCTTAGGAAGTAAATTGAATAACCAACCAATAACATATTGTCAGAGTTAAAGTAATATTTAAAGAATCATTTGATCATATTAATTCTTTCAACAAGAAATTGTTTCTTCAAACCCGACATTCGACCCCGATTAGATTGAATTCCTACGATTCCGACACATCATAGTGACATAGTGCGTATTTTAAGGCAAAAAAGATCTGTGAAGAATGAGTCAAAGAGATAAATATTACTTCTCGATGAGCGTTGAATGCAGGACTAGCAGATGACAGCTTTGTTACTGACAAAGATGCTGAGTCACAGAGATAAATATTACCTAGTGTTGATTTTAGACAGTGACTGTTTGGTTACTGGACAAGGTTAAAAGCCAAAAAGGACAGCTGGGTCAAGTCTCAAAATATCAAATAAGTCTGATCCTTCCCAAGACCCTACAACTGCGTTTGCAACAACCTGTATTCACTTAGCTATCTAGCTAGTAAACGATCCACGTCCACGCCACTTTCTTCAAATCCTAGGGTCAAATAAAAGGCAACACCATTCTCAAACCCCAAGAGAACTTGTTTACCATCGAAGTTGTTCCAGATCCACATGGTTCTGTCGCCGCCCATCAGTGGAATGTGGAATGCGGTCCAAGGTCAAGTTTGGTGACTTTGCAGTTCAAGCAGTGCGGTTTGTTTGTGGAGTTCACCGGCCTGGTGTCGTATATCATCAGATGCCGTGTCTTGTATCTCACGCTTCATCTGCCGTAGTCGTGCACGCCGCTCGTCGTCTTAAATAAACGTAAAGGTCGCCGAAAGCCGCCGGTGGCGCCATCACTTTACCTTTGTGCGCAAAAACTCTTCTACTTGTACGAGAAATTTCAAAATGTTCCCTCGTTGTCTTCGGGAGCATGGGATTGGTGAAATATAGATGCAATGGGACTGACCAATGAGTATGGCCTCCTCTAATACAAAGCCGCGGTGTGACAATAGTGGTGACACCGCATTCACGGCCTATTGAAACAGCTGTTGCACGAATTCATAATGGAACTTCTCCGTAAAGCTTACGTTTTCACGTTGGTTATTCCTGTTATTACGATGGCTACGTATTTTAGGTCTTAAGCGACTGAAAGAACGTTATGAGAGAGGGTGAAAGAGTTGATTAGATTTACGAACGTTTGGTAGTCGTGGGATTTTTTTTATTGATGCAAAATGCTATAAAAGAATATTATTTTTCTCGATATTGTAGCTACAAGGATATTTTTTATGAACTGGACCTAGATGTATTTGATAACTGGCTTTAATGGTCTTAGCTATAAGATCCAGCTGATCTTCGTCAGTAACAAAGCAATTTTCTCATCCATTCTACAATCTTCCCTCACTGAACTCTTGATAATACACATCCAGTTGTGTCGGCTTGGTAACTAATCTGACATGGAAAACGAAAATAGGAGAACCTATGCTAAAACCTTGATGAGTTATTATAACAATCATTTCCTCTTTTTCTGATTTGCGGCGTATTCCTATAATAATTAATTTAGTGTAGGGAGTATTCAGTGTTGAGGATGGATGTTATACTTCCGCGTAAACCTTAAACTACAAAAGGCTCAAGTTTTAAACGATTTGGAACGTGATATAGCATTTCCCCCCGTATACGGATATAGAAAAAATACTTAAAATTAATAAATTTGCCCCCAACGACGATGATCCGTTTGTGCTACTGTATTCCTAATATGCTACATGTGCCCTTTTGATACAGTATTGGGACATTTTATATGCCATTTTGTCCTAACTGTAAAGAAATAACACTTTACGTGAGGACTGGAAAATAACCTACTCTAACGGAAATGGAATCACGCAGTACAGTGTTATTGTATTCCGTTCCACTGGTCCAATTCTGCTCCCCGCGGTCCACCGGTTCGTTCCGTGTCACTCGGCTAATCATCAGTTGAGCTGACATACCGTTGTAAGAGTCCCCTCTCTGATGATCCGTTGCAGGTTTTACTGTTTAACTGTAAAAACCCAACAAATTACAGCGCGAGAGGAGGACGCGCTGGAGTGGAATTTACGCGTCATGTCGTGCCGTGATTCCTTGAAATATCACGAGATGAATTAAAAGTAGTTTCTCTCTACCTTGAAATCGTAAAGTTTTTACGATTTTGCAAAATATTAAAAGACTTGACTTCATTAAATATGTTTTTATACAATTACTATGAACTACCTCCTCCACCATTTATCATGCATTTAGAGTGTATAACATATCATCTTAAAAAATACCATTTGCTAACGCCATTTTAATAGCCTACGACTTCTTTAGATTGTGCTTTCTTAATATTCTACAAGATGTTCTCATGAGTGCCATTTTTTCAAAGCTTTGCCCAGGAGTATTATTGTTGGTTTGTCTGTTTCGCTCAATTATCGGTTAATTTTATAGTCAGTGGTTAACGCTTTCCTCCTTCACATGGTCCATACTATCCATGTGGTCCATACTATCTGTCCATTAATACTCGAATGTGTGAAGACCTTTCTACAATCTACTCTAAAACATTCTCTGTGTTATATCTCAGGACTTTTAAATTCTACTCCACATTTGCTATGCTATGACAAATACTCGGTGCTATGGCACATATTCGGTGCTTTACCACATTTTCTATGTTTTGACACAGTTTGCTCTGTTGCAGGGTGTACGGCAGGAGTCATGTCCCCCCGCCACGTCGGCCTCGCAGGACTTGCTGGAGGACGCGCTGCGAGGCTCGGCCCCCTACCCCATGGTGTTGCTGCCCCCCGGTGGAGGCTACTGGGTGGACGGCCACGAACACACCCCCATCCCTACCACACCCACCCCTCACGCCTGGAGGACCAAGTTCGAGATGGACGACACGGCCCGGTGTTACCGCAGGAACTTCCTTGGCAAGGTGAGTTTAAATATGTTAAACAACAACAATATATGAACAAAACTGAAAAGTCTTTGCAACAAACGTGGAACAATCGTTATCTTCTTCGCCCCTTCTTATTCTTCTTCTCCTCATCCTCCTTCTTATTCTTCTACGCCCCTTCTCCTTCTTCCTCTCTTATCTGCCCCCTCCATCTCTGCCTTTTCATCCTCCTCATTTTCCACTTTCTCCTTCTTCTCCTCCTCTTAGTTCTTCTTCCTCCCTTATCTGTCCCCTCCACCTCTGCCTCTTCATCCTCCTCATCTTCCACTTTCTCCATCTTCTCCTCCTCGCCCGTCTTATTCTTCAAAGAAGTTTTAGCGGATTGTGAGGGTGTAATTCTAGACTTAGGTTCTCCCCAGCCTTACTCCGTTAGTACTTCAGATACCACTTCGAGCTGTAGCTATGCTGAACTTGTGAAATACGAGTTTTCGTATGTTATTCGAACGTACATTCTTTTGTGTTTTCCTTATAATGATGTAATGCATCTTCACAAACTGTTGAACTGATTAAGGTCATGATTGCCCTCAAAGCTGTTGGTCGCGTGAGCAGAACCAACTTGTAGTCCAATCAAAGTTGGGCCATCACCAGCAAACTAACCTCTACTGCTGAGATACAAAGCTCCCTGGTTCGTCTGGTGATTGAGCAATACTTCATCACTTTACAACAACACTATTAGTAAATGTGCAATTACTAACATTGCTTCAATCGCCACAATGTACTATTGATGTTTAGAACTGAGAGTAATTGATTGTATAATAATTTATACCAGAGATAAACGCAATGCATCTCTGTATTGGCAATTATGTTGATACACTCTAGCTGCATGATTTTAAACACTATACTTAGATATCCTTAATTTAGTTATTACAATTCATTTAAGCGTTTAGCACAAATGTGCTACTGCTAGTGTTGACCAGAGTAGACATCCCATCTAATGGACCAGCTGCAGCAGTTTTTCTTTATCATTCAAATAGAACTTAAATGAGTGGGCATAACATAAAGACTAAAAAATGCCACTGCTAAATGTTTTTTTCTGATACTCTATAGTTAATGTAGACTACATAGAGTTAATGTAGAATCTATGCTATAATTTACAATACACACACGTCCACAAAGATATACCTCAAGTTAACATTATTTAGGTTTGGCTACGTTAAACAGTTGGTGTATAGAACACAAATCAGTAGGAGATTGCGGCACACCCCGTCGCATTCAATTAAACTACATTCCTTTTAGTCAATGCTTTTATTCTTAAACTGGCGACATGTAAAAATAGTTATGGAGTGCATATAAAGTTAGTACTGTTTGCAATGTATTACCTTTGACAATTAATACAACTTCAGTATCCAATAGTCAATGGTATTACTAACAACATGATACTGTAACATGATACAACTAAAACGTTAACCTCTCTTAAAACGAATTAAGTAAGAAATATTGAACAACAATCGTATTTTTTAAACTTTTCCTACATGGGGTTTATGCTTTAAACACAAATCATCTCGAGGTTTTCTTATTGGAATATATGGTGCTCTCGTATAAAAGGTCCAAGATGACAAGGGAAGACAGAGGACTGCAGTCTGGGTCCCCTAATGTCGCTATATTTCCCACACTTGGGCGACTGCCAGTGCTGGGGATATAAGCGGTGATTCTCTGCATCTACTGCACACTGCTGCGCCCATATGGTTGCGACATCGTCACTGGAATGATTTGTGGAGATTTTAATGCACTTTTGCTATTGTGTGGGTGTGTACGGGAGCTGGTCTAGTGGCAGAGCGCGGGGCTTCGGACCCCGAGGTCCCGGGTTCAAATCCTGCCAATCACCAATAGATGGTATCATAGTGATAGCTATGTGACTCCCTCTAGAACTTGGCCGAAGTCTTTTGTAAAAAAAAAGCAGTAATAACACAAAAATTGAAATATAAAAACTTTTTGAGTGTGAGTGGTTGTTTGGGTTGTGAGTATATTTTTCAATAGCAAACTTGAAGTTTAAAAAAGTTAAAATGTAAATATTAATGTTTCCAGATGGAACTAGTTATATGATGCAAAATGGTGTTGACTATGGATAGAATCAGAACTTCATTTTCAATGTTAAAGCTGTCGCCAGTTTACGAAAAACAGATCGTAATAGAATGTATTGAGAACTAACTTCTAACCTTTAACCTTGCAAAACGGTCAGGACGGCTTACTATAAACTATAGCCCATCTTATGCCACTTTCTAACATAGATTATCAGTTACAAAAGTTAAGGTCGAAACAGAACATATTTTTATATTGTATAACATTTTTGTAATTTTCTATGGTTTTTTTGTAAAACCAATAGCCTACCGCTAGACCATTTAGATGGGATGTCTTTTACCTCTGTGTCCGAAATTCAATTGTAATACTAACTTAGGAACAATCGAGACGAAACCCCTTTCCTGCGCAGATTCTTAGAATAATCCAGTTTCTTTATACATGTTAAATGTTTCAAAGTATGTGTATGGGTTTCACAAATGTGTTTGGGCTATTAATTAACAGCTGTGTCTAAGGAATGTCGGCCTTAGTCACTAACAAGACTACAAGATCGCGCCACTCATCTTACACTCATCTCCATTCATACTTGGCTTAAAATACCTACATTGTATGGTCGCCATTTCATAAGAAAGTATAAAGTATAAAGTATAAAGTAATGTTTGAATGTAAATTGTAGTTGCTAGAAACCCCAAAGATATTGCTTCAACATTGTCACATCAAGGTAGAACGTATTAATCTTGTATTCTAGGAAAAGAGTCCATAAGGACCTCAAAGATACTTTTTATCAATAAAATATAGTGTCTTAGCTCCACATATCAAAAGAACGTCAAATGTTATTAGAATCACGAACCTATAAATCTGTGCAATTTTTTATTAATCTAAAAACGTGTCTTGGTCGAGATTGGACTTTCATACAACAAACTTTGTTAGATTTTCTAAGACAAAATAAACTCGAAACGTTCTTTTGCAGCGAAATGATGTGAGTAAAAACATGTCCTACTACCTTATACTGAATTGTATCTTTATGTAAAAATTTAAATTTATAACTATATTTTCATGATGGGATGAATCAGAAACCTTATAATTTCGTAATATTTATTTTTCTGCAAGAATTAAGGAACATATTCAATTAATACTTTGAGTTGGCGTAATATACTTCAGGCTATATTCGTCCTCGTTTAGTTTTAATTTATATACGTCCTACTAATATTTAATCTCTACCCAAACAAACCCACAAGCATGAGTTAGGGTTCGGGACATCATACTTGAATTATCTAAATTGCCACTCACCGCGGCTGTGGTTGACCTTTCGAACTTGAGAGAAAATTGGCTTCTTCAGGTTCAACACTAAGCATGTGGTTCATGTTAGATTGCTTATTTAAGTAAAGGCTTTCCCTCGTATATTATCTTTCTACGTGTATTTGTTGGGTCTAATTAAATTAATATTATAAATGTTTAATGTTTGGTTTCGAAACTATGGACTAGCGCTTAACTTTATCTATTGCGCTTTTCATTTTTTATAACTTTTTGAACACTGTAGTTACCTTATAATTACGTAAGAATAGTAATAAAAGCAATATATACATGGTGAATACATAACTTCCATTGAACCAGGTCTTGAATAATAATGAGATGCTGAACTCTATTAGTGGCACAATATGAATGCTCTGAGTAAAGTATTTAATCCTGCGTTGCTTTAACAAACATAAAGCAACAATAAAACATCTCGTTTGTTTAGTGCTTGTTTTTTCTATTATTTGCTTAACATGTCATAGAGTTTGAATAAATTTTCAACGTTTGATACAGAATTAGCAAAACGTGTTCGTAAAAGGTATTATAATATTAATCATGAGACAAGAGCCATTAACCAATACACATACTCTTCTCCCATCTCTGTATTTAAAAGTGCTTGATCCAAGTATATTATATTAAAACATCTTAGTTTCTAGCTTTTTTTCTCCAGGGTTTGAGTAGGAAAATAGCTTAACCCTGTATTCAGCCGGAAAACATATTTTGTTATCGAATGAATAGAGACCAAAATAAGAAATGAACAACATTGGTTCTGCATTAGGCATATGTTTGTATTAGAACGCCATGATAACCCTGCAGCAGTAAGGAATTCTCTAAATAAGTACTTAATGGGTTGAGATTATTGTCGTCGGACTTGTGACACTGAGAAATTGAAAGTCGCGTAATAACCATATAATAACTTGATTGCACAATTATATATGATCATCTTTGGTATTGAACCAAAAATTCAAAGATAGTGTAGTAAATATAGGGGCTTTAATATATTTGTATAAATTGAGCTAAATGGTGAAAATTCGGCACAGAACCCCCTTGTACAGTGAAGTGAGCAAGTTAGAGGTTAACCACAATGTTCGCCACCTCAGAAGTTGTTTGTGGTTTTGTGGTTGTGTCACTGTACGGTTTGTAACACCTTGTCGTAAAGTAGGTCTCAGAAATACTAGTTACTTTTTTGTCCTAGGGCGTTAGCTATGCGCTTGCCCGAGATTGCTTTTCACATTACTTCTGGCTAGACCTAGGGGTTTGCAATGATAACACGTGAATAAAACCATAGAAAACAATGGTTTATCTATGATAAAACCCATTGGTTATTGGCGGTATTTGAACCCGGGACCTCAGGGGCCGAAGTTCCGCGCTCTAACCACTAGACTGGATACGGCAGTCCTTTCATTGTTTCCATGTGTAGTAATTCATTTTAACACTAATCTATTGTCTATAACGTGCGTGGAACCGGTGACTTTGACACTGATATTAGATTTTGTATCATATTGAAAACACGAAGAGTGTTTTTCTATGTTTCATGCTTAGTTACGTTAAATCTTTGACTATATAAGTTATACACTAGTGTTTATATGGCTCAATCGAGCAGTAGACCCAATATTTGTCTCATACTTAAGTACTAACCACAGACAATGGAAGGAGTATTATTTAGACAA